GACTTCTGCAGAGAGACTATTGCTTCCACACAGAGAACAAGGGTCCTATTCTAAAGCAGGTTGGCAGGACATAGGCCTTTTTAATTAGGCTGTGGCTGCTTTCTAAGGAAAACAAACTGCAAGACTGTGAGCACCATTCCATTTAATGCACCTGGAATGTATTTAGCTAATTTAAACTAAAGGTTCAATTGACCTTTTCATTTTCTAGAAAATAATTGCTAGTTCAGGAACTAGCAATTCAGAACTTCAGAAACTAGCTGGGTCAGCAACGGGAGTTCAGTCAGCATAAGCTGAAACACAGGCCACGGGGGAAGCTGGATATTAGCCTGACTTCTTCTGTGTGCTGGTCCATGTACATGAGCATTGGCTGCACGGGAATGAGCATTGGTTGTAGCAATAGCTGCGCAAGTATTGGTCCTTTGACACTTGGTTGGAAAAAATCGCCAGGTATAATTTTAACCCTTTTGCACAAGGGTGAAACAAATGTTAATGCCTAAACACAATTTTGCAACTTTGACATGTGTTAGTACAACTATACGTAACATCACAACTACTTTATGCATCCAGGTGGATTATACCTTGGTTTTTTTTTTTCGGGACAAATTTGGCTTTCATCTGGTGGTAAATGGTAATGGATATCTCCTTATTTTATTTATCAAAGGAAAACTGGCACAAAATAGTAAAAAATGTTTTTTTTTTTTTTTAAATATAGCTGTATATTTCTTGTTACTACCATAAAATTTTTCCTAAAATGGCGGCGACATGTGCGGCGACGGAGCGGGGATGTCTGGGAAGGCGCGCAGACAAGGCGCGCTGACCCATAATGCATTCATTCATGACATGTGATCGCATTAGCCAATCAGCAGTCAGCCAGCCAGCACAGTGTAATGGTCGAGCTATAAATGGCGGCCATTTTAGAATTCTCCATTTGCCTCCAGTCATTCAACAGAGGCAGACCTGGCTGTATGCAGGGAGAGAGTTAGGGACAGAGAAACGTTACTTAGGGACACAGAAACGTTAGTTAGGGCCACAGAATCGTTACTTAGGGCCATAGAAACGTTACATAGGGCCACAGAAACGTTTACTTAGGGCCACAGAATCGTTAGTTAGGGCCACAGAAACGTTACTTAGGGACACAGAATTGTTACTCAGGGACAGACAGAATTGTTACTGAGGGATACAGAATTGTTACTGAGGGCCACAGAATCGTTACTTAGGGCCACAGAAACGTTACTTAGGGCCACAGAATTGTTACTTAGGGACAGACACAGAATTGTTACTGAGGGACACAGATTTGTTACTGAGGGCCACAGAATCGTTACTTAGGGCCACAGAATTGTTACTTAGGGACAGACACAGAATTGTTACTGAGGGACACAGATTTGTTACTGAGGGCCACAGAATCGTTACTTAGGGCCACAGAATCGTTACTTAGGGCCACAGAATTGTTACTTAGGGACAGACACAGAATTGTTACTGAGGGCCACAGAATCGTTACTTACTTAGGGCCACAGAATTGTTACTTAGGGACAGACACAGAATTGTTAGTGAGGGACACAGATTTGTTACTGAGGGCCACAGAATCGTTACTTAGGGCCACAGAAACGTTACTTAGGGCCACAGAATTGTTACTTAGGGACAGACACAGAATTGTTATTGAGGGACACAGAATTGTTACTGAGGGCCACAGAACCGTTACTTAGGGCCACAGAAACGTTACTTAGGGCCACAGAATTGTTACTTAGGGACAGACACAGAATTGTTACTGAGGGACACAGAAACGTTACTGAGGGCCACAGAATCGTTACTTAGGGCCACAGAATTGTTACTTAGGGCCACAGAATCGTTACTAGGGCCACAGAAACGTTACTTAGGGCCACAGAAACGTTACTTAGGGCCACAGAATTGTTACTTAGGGACAGACACAGAATTGTTACTGAGGGACACAGAATTGTTACTAAGGGCCACAGAAACGTTACTTAGGGCCACAGAAACGTTACTTAGGGCCACAGAATCGTTACTTAGGGCCACAGAATTGTTACTTAGGGCCACAGAATTGTTACTTAGGGCCACAGAAACGTTACTTAGGGACACAGAATTGTTACTCAGGGACAGACAGAATTGTTACTGAGGGACACAGAATTGTTACTGAGGGCCACAGAATCGTTACTTAGGGCCACAGAAACGTTACTTAGGGCCACAGAATTGTTACTCAGGGACAGACAGAATTGTTACTGAGGGACACAGAATTGTTACTGAGGGCCACAGAATCGTTACTTAGGGCCACAGAAACGTTACTTAGGGCCACAGAATTGTTACTTAGGGACAGACACAGAATTGTTACTGAGGGACACAGAATTGTTACTGAGGGCCACAGAACCGTTACTTAGGGGAACAGAACCGTTACTTAGGGCCACAGAAACGTTACTTAGGGACGACACAGAATTGTTACTGAGGGACACAGAATTGTTACTGAGGGACCACAGAAACGTTACTTAGGGCCACAGAAACGTTACTTAGGGCCACAGAAACGTTACTTAGGGCCACAGAATTGTTTACTTAGGGGACCACAGAATTGTTACTTAGGGACACAGAATTGTTACTGAGGGACACAGAAGAATTGTTACTGAGGGACGTTACTGAGGGACACAGAACCGTTACTTAGGGCCACAGAAACGTTACTTAGGGCCACAGAATCGTTACTTAGGGCCACAGAAACGTTACTTAGGGCCACAGAAACGTTACTTAGGGCCACAGAATTGTTACTCAGGGACACAGAATTGTTACTCAGGGACAGACACAGAATTGTTACTCAGGGACACAGAATTGTTACTGAGGGACACAGAATTGTTACTGAGGGACACAGAATTGTTACACTCAGGGACACAGAATTGTTACTGAGGGACACAGAATTGTTACTGAGGGACACAGAATTGTTACTGAGGGCCACAGAACACTTAGAACAGTTAATTGTTACTCAGGGACAGACACAGAATTGTTACTCAGGGACAGACACAGAATTGTTACTGAGGGACACAGAATTGTTTACTGAGGGCCACAGAACTGTTACTTAGGGCCACAGAAACGTTACTCAGGGGACACAGAATTGTTACTCAGGACAGACACAGAATTGTTACTCAGGGACAGACACAGAATTGTTACTGAGGGACACAGAATTGTTACTGAGGGACACAGAATTGTTACTGAGGGCCACAGAACTGTTACTTAGGGCCACAGAAACGTTACTCAGGGACACAGAATTGTTAATCAGGGACAGACACAGAATTCTTACTCAGGGACAGACACAGTTGTTACTCAGGGACACAGAATTTGTTACTGAGGGACACAGAATTGTTACTGAGGGCCACAGAATCGTTACTTAGGGCCACAGAAACGTTACTTAGGGCCACAGAAACGTTACTTAGGGCCACAGAAACGTTACTTAGGGACACAGAATTGTTACTCAGGGACAGACACAGAATTGTTACTCAGGGACAGACACAGAATTGTTACTGAGGGACACAGAATTTGTTACTGAGGGACACAGAATTGTTACTCAGGGACACAGAATTGTTACTGAGGGACACAGAATTTGTTACTGAGGGACACAGAATTGTTACTCAGGGACAGACACAGAATTGTTACTCAGGGACAGACACAGAATTGTTACTGAGGGACACAGAATTGTTACTGAGGGCCACAGAACTGTTACTTAGGGCCACAGAAACGTTACTCAGGGACACAGAATTGTTACTCAGGGACAGACACAGAATTGTTACTCAGGGACAGACACAGAATTGTTACTGAGGGACACAGAATTGTTACTGAGGGACACAGAATTGTTACTGAGGGACACAGAGCTGTTACTTAGGGCCACAGAAACGTTACTCAGGGACACAGAATTGTTAATCAGGGACAGACACAGAATTCTTACTCAGGGACAGACACAGAATTGTTACTCAGGGACACAGAATTGTTACTGAGGGACACAGAATTGTTACTGAGGGCCACAGAATCATTTACTTAGGGCCACAGAAACGTTACTTAGGGCCACAGAAACGTTACTTAGGGCAACAGAAACATTACTTAGGGACACAGAATTGTTACTCAGGGACAGACACAGAATTCTTACTCAGGGACAGACACAGAATTGTTACTCAGGGACACAGAATTTGTTACTCAGGGACACAGAATTGTTACTGAGGGACACAGAATTGTTACTGAGGGACACAGAATTGTTACTCAGGGACACAGAATTGTTACTCAGGGACAGACACAGAATTGTTACTGAGGGACACAGAATTGTTACTGAGGGACACAGAATTGTTACTGAGGGCCACAGAACTGTTACTTAGGGCCACAGAAACATTACTCAGGGACACAGAATTGTTACTCAGGGACAGACACAGAATTGTTACTCAGGGACACAGAATCGTTGAATTAAAGAGTATGTCAGACAACATGCAGAGGAGTGGCAGAGGAGGCAATGTTTTAGGGAGCGAGCAGACGTGGCAGCAGAGGAAGGGGTCGAGGCAGCACTATTCGCAGCCAGAGGCCAGTGCTCCGGTGTCATCCAGTACAGTGAGGAAGAGCTAACAGAGGGCGGTCAGGAACGGGGGGAGACATCCGCCTCTTCAGCAGCCAGGCGAAGAAGTAGTGGCGAGGAGAGTGGCTCGGTAGCCGGTCTAGAGACAGGTCTGTCTCCTGACCCACACGCAGCCGAGGGGGCTAGTAGTGTGCGGAGGAGACCCTAATTGATGATGATGAGGCTGATCGCACTTGGCAGCCTCGTCGTCATCAGGCTATTGCTTCCGCATCATCAGGAGAAGAGGGTGGCAGCTTGGCAGCGAGCAAAACAGTCGGTGGGTTGTCTCCATCGCCACACTCTGCCATGTGCCACTTTCAGGTCTCCTCACACACTGCTGGTGTGTTCCATTTTTTGTCATAGGGTGCTGGCAGATACGGGCCTCCCATAGCTGCTGCCAGGCCCCTAATCTGCCATGGGCCCCTGTACCGCCTCCTCATGCTGCTGCCAGGTCCACAGTGTCTCATGCCATGTGCCACTTTCAGGTCTCCTCACACTGCTGGTGTGTTCCATTTTTTGTCATAGGGTGCTGGCAGATTACGGGCCTCCCATAGCTGCTGCCAGGCCCCTAATCTGCCATGGGCCCCTATACCGCCTCCTCATGCTGCTGCGAAGTCCAGAGTCTCTCATGGGTCCCTGTACGGCCTTCCATTGCTGCTGTCTCCATCGCCACACTCTGCCATGTGCCACTTTCAGGTCTCCTCACACACTGCTGGTGTGTTCAATTTTTTGACATAGGGTGCTGGCAGATTACGGGCCTCCCATAGCTGCTGCCAGGCCCCTAATCTGCCATGGGCCCCTATACCGCCTCCTCATGCTGCTGCCAGGTCCAGGCGAACGTAGTCACACAGGGGAGGAACTTCTCAGTGTAATGAACAGAGAAATCGACAGATGGCTGTCTCCGCGCAAACTGAAAATCGGAACCATGTTGACCGACAACGGAAAGAACATGGTGTCTGCTCTGCATCAAGGAAGGTTGTGCCATGCGCCATGCATGGCTCACGTGTTCAATCTGGTTGTCAAGCGGTTCCTAAAATCCACCATCCCACTGCAAGACATCCTTAAAATGTCACGTAAACCTTGCATGCATTTCAGCCATTCCTACACCGCAAAGCACACCCTCCTTGAGCTGCAGCGGCAGAACGGAATTCCACAGCATCGCCTGATCTGCGACGTTGCAACAAGGGTGGAATTCAACCCTACACATGGTAGACCGCCTTTACGAACAGCGAAAGACCATCAGTTATTTCATGATGTTACAAGCGGATAAAGGTACTCTCCCTGTGTAACTTCGATGTCAGCCATTGGCAGCTCATGCGTGACACCTGCCGCTTGCTCAGGCCCTTTGAGGAGGCCACGCTATTCGTGAGTCGGCAGGACTATGGGATGAATGACGTCATTCCTCTGTTGCACGTCCTGGAACAAATGCTGTTAACAATGGCTGGTCAGGGTGCGGTAGAGGTGGCGCACAGATCTCAACGCCACATGACCCCTGTGGGGGCAGGACAGGAAGAAGAGGAGGAGGTAGAGGAGGACATTTGTGCTCAGGAATTATTGAGTGAAATGGGTGGTTTTTCCACTCAGCGGACAGGAGTGGAGGAGCAGGAGCATCTGGTAGAGGAGGAGGAGACAGAGGACCCAGACGCACCGTGGCAGTATGCTGTGGAGATGGAGTCAGGGAGTCCCTCGCATTCCTTGGCACAAATGGCCCATAGCATGCTCGGTTGCTTGCGTAGCGACAGCGGAATAAGAACCATCAGACAGAGGGATGACTTTTGGCTGTCCACCTTGTTGGACCCTCGCTACCGTTCAAAAATGGTGGCCTTTTTCACACCTGCTGAGAGGGAGGCCAAAATAACGTACTATAAAAACCACCTATGTAGTCAGTTGGTCTCTGCCTTTGTGCGCCAACGTCCATCCTCAGACACTGTGGGCCCTGTGCGCTCGCGTTCCGCTGCCATGGCAGCAAAGGAGGGGTGGGGTGGTAGGAGCAGTGGCAGCTCCACCAGCAGCGGCTGACTCAGTCTGCAGTCGATGATGAGTAGCTTTCTTCACCAGCGCAGTGAGGAAACTACTAACCAGCCGCAGCAGCAGCAGCATCAGGTGGACCTGGAGCAGGACCTCAAACAACAGGCTTGGGCCTACTTGGACAGCACCCTGCCAACCGAGGTAGACAATCCCCTTGACTACTGGGCAACGAAACTTGACCTTTGGCCCCAACTAGCTGAATTTGCCCTTGAAAGGCTGTCATGCCCGGCCAGTAGCGTGGCATCGGAGCGCGTGTTTAGTGCGGCAGGAGGTATTGTAACTCCGTGGAGGACACGACTGTCCACCCAAAGTGTGGAGAGACTCACGTTTGTGAAAATGAATCAGGCGTGGATTAGTCTCTGGATTTCAAACCACCAGTTCCTGACAACAACTGACTAAATCCGCCATGAATCATGCCCCTGCCATGTGCCACTTTCAGGTCTCCTCACACTGCTGGTGGGTTCCATTTTTTGTCATAGGGTGCTGGCAGATTACGGGCCTCCCATAGCTGCTGCCAGGCCCCTAATCTGCCATGGGCCCCCGTACCGACTCCTCATGCTGCTGCCAGGCCCGTAATCTGTCATGGGCCCCTGTTGTCGCTTGTTGGCATATTCCGCTCGTTCAGATGCTCCTTCTCCTGCTACTCCTCTTCACGGATTCCGTCAGCAGTCTTTCTTGGAATCCGTTTCCAAGAGACAACAGTTTGCGAGCACGCACCCGACGGTGCAGAAGCTGAACGTCCTCCTGTCCAAGTTGCTGCTGCCAGGCTCGTAATCTGTCATGCGCCCCTGTACCGCCTCCTCATGCTGCTGCCAGGTCCAGAGAGTGTGTCATGGGCCCCCGTACCGACTCCTCATGCTGCTGCCAGGCCCGTAATCTGTCATGGGCCCCTGTACCGCCTCCCCATGCTGCTGCCAGGTCCAGAGTGTGTCATGGGTCCCTGTACGGCCTCCCATTGCTGCTGCCAGGCCCGTAATCTGCCATGGGCCCCCGTACCAACTCCTCATCATGCTGCTGCCAGGCCCGTAATCTGTCATGGGCCCCTGTACCGCCTCCTCATGCTGCTGCCAGGTCCAGAGTGTGTCATGGGTCCCTGTACGGCCTCCCATTGCTGCTGTCTCCATCGCCACACTCTGCCATGTGCCACTTTCAGGTCTCCTCACACTGCTGGTGGTTTCCATTTTTGTCATAGGGTGCTGTATGGCCTCCCATTGCTGCTGCCTCCACCTCCACACTGTGGCTCCACACTCTGGTTTTGGCCCCGTGACTGCCCAAATGAGTGAAGTGTGCGGTGATTCTAAGATCGACGGCACTCATCTGCATGTCATACTGACTGTCAGTATTATTTCTCTTCCCCAGCAGACTCCAAGGGCATTTAAATTAAAGGTACAGTGTTCTGCACTAATATAAAGTCTCTCTGAAGCCTAGAAACACCCTTTTATAAGTTAAATTCGCAGCGAATATATTCGACTCAAATCGAAATTTTTCCACGAATTCGCCGAATCAGTCGAATCGAATTTTTGAATACTTCTCTCATCTCTAACCATAACCTACCACCAAAGAACAACCGAAAACAAATTCTCCTGCTCCTGATGTATGCAGCAATACTTTATATGTTTGTACCTGTAGTATGGGCCAGAAACAATAGTGGGCATTTTGCTTTTTATTCTACAAAAAAACCACACTGACACTGACTGACACTGATAATAATGTAACAATTGAAAAAAATCTGCCCAAAATATACTGACCATGACCTTTTGAGCCTGCCCTTGATCTTTGACCCTTACACTAATCCTGGCACTGACCTAGATCAAGCATTGATCTAGGTATTTTGTCTTTATTTATTTACACACACAATGTACATTGTATCTTTCCTCTACATTCAGAGAGAAAGAAGCAGAGGGGCTGGATTCACAGTGGCTGATCACTGTGATAGCCAATTAGAGACTATCACAGCAATCTGGTGACCCGGAAACTGGGGTTCTGGGTCCCGATCATAGTATGGGACTCAGGGCTCCCAGTGAGATCTGTCTGTCTCTGTGCTGGGAGTACGCTGTGCGGTGTGCTCCCAGCAGAATGGTATGTATATATGCAGCCAAGTCCAGTGGGGCCATATATATGCTTCCGTTCAGCGCCAAGGGGTTAATGAAAGCTGGAGATTTTAAAAAGTTGAAAATTACTCTTGAACTAAATTTAACATGTTAGTTTTTTTGAGCAGTGTATACAGTATATATACACACACACACATATATACTGAGGTGTGGACATTTAAAAAAAAAAAAACTACTTGTCCAGGGACTAAATCTGGGTCCAAATCTACTTGTCTTGAAAAAATTGTTTTAACCAAAATCGTATTTAAACACCCCAAACATATATTTTCTTAAAGCACATTAGAGAATAAAATAGTGGTACTTCCAATTTATGTCACACAATATTACCTCAAAGGTCTAGGAAACACAAAATTTCAGTAAAAAATGCACTTAATTTACTCTTTTTCTTTTGGAAAAAAAGAAAAGAGGAGGTTGCATAGTTTCACGTGTGTTCGTGAAATGGGGACAAACTTTAGTACCCTATATGTTCTATAGGTGATACTTTTAAAGCCCCTTATAGGTCACCAGTTTAATGTCACAGAGAAGGTCTGGTGCTAGAATTTTTGCTCTCATTCTGGCATGCGTGGCAATATGTAACATGTGTTTTGCAATCTAAGTTTTCATGCGTAGGTGCCCCGACATGTGTTTTTACGTTTGTATGTGCGTATATATGGGGGTGGGGGCAGGGGCGTATTTACCACAAGGCAAACAAGGCATTTGCCTATGGCGGCATTTTTAGGGGGGCAGCGCTGACCCCTGAAAGAAGGGATGGAAGAAGAGACACACGCAGCATGGGGACCATTTGGGATCTGAGAGAGGCCGTGGGCTTCTTGATGGTGTATACAGAGCCTGACTCTTGTTCCTGGGGATGTCCAGAACTGTAAAGGTGAGTGTCTATCTCTTGCCAGGGTGTGGGGGTGGGGGGTTGCCAGTGTAAGGGGGGCGGTGGTAGTGGAAGACTCACTCGGGTGGAGTGTTGTTGGTCAATGTCAGGCTTCCTTCATCTTCATGGGGGAGGGGGGTGTGAGTGTCAGGGTCTCTCCATGGTGGTGGTGGGGAGGAGAGATGATTTTTGTGTTGCCTAGGGCAGCACGAAACCTAAATACACCACTGGGTGGGGCCCTCAACATACAAAGCAGTGTGCTTACAGTGTAAAGCACACACACAGCACACAGTGAAACTGCACACAGCACACAGTTAACCCTTTGATCACCATACATATTAACCAGTGTCATATGCCCAGTGTCATTAGTACAGTGTCAGTGCTTTTTATTAGCACTGATCATTGTATTGGTGTCACTGGGGATGTCAGTGACAGTCAGTTCCCCCAGTGTCAGAATGCCAGCCGCAGTCCCGCTATAAGTCACTGATCACTGCCATTACTAAAATAAAAAAAAGAAAAATTCCAGCATATATACTGCCATTTATAGATGCTGTAACTTTCACGTAAACCAATTAATTTACACGTATTGGGATTTTTTTTAGCAAAGACATGTCGCAGAATACATTTTGGCCAAAATTTATGACGAAATTTGATTTTTTAAATTTTTTTACTGGACATGTTTAATAGCATAAAGTAAAAAATATTTTTTCACAAAATTGGCAGACTTTTTTTTTTTTTATAGAGCAATCAAATACCACCGAAAGAAGAGCTCTATTTTTGTAAAAAGTAGGAAGCCAAACACAGATATGCCCACTGCTTTATTACAGAACCCTTCCAATGTAGCAGCCATTTCTAGAAGTTCAAATTCTAGATATATATGTACATCAGGCATAACACTTAATCGTAACGTGAAAAAGAACTGGACCCTTAAAAAGTAAATCATTAGAGCTATGCAACTATAAAATGATAAAACATTGATCTAAAAGCTGTCAAAACCACATCTCATTCTATAAATACAGGACAATATACTGTGTAATAAAAATAATAAAAAACACAGAATGATGCATGTAGAGAAAAATATTTAAATCATAGGAGGTCAACCATTGAGACCATAAAACTATTAGACTTGACAGCAGCAGAATAAAAAATAAAGGATACATAACTATACGAATTACCTCTAGCCTAAAGCACACCAAGTGCATTCTTATGATGGTGGATGATGGATAAAAACAACAACACTGTAAAAAAAAGTATTTTGGCTAATCTAACTAGATACAGTATATTCAAATGAGATACAATTGTTGGTATAGATACAAAAACTGGAATGTTACAATCAGATTCTCTATTCCAGTAATGACAATATACCCAGTGTGATGGATGAAAAACACATACTTTGTGCTACAGGGTGGCAGGGATGCGCAAAATCACATATATATATATAGGTGATATTGCATTTCCGGATAAGGTGTGTGTGTGCGTCCTACCCACTCCGCCATTGGCGGCCTCAGTGTTCAATCACAGGGTCCCGACCAGTGATTCCCCATCGGTACCCGGCACTCACTGAGTATTACGGACGGGGGAGAAATCTGTATGTAAACAATACAGATCTCTCTCCTGTCAGCTCCTGCACACTGCTTTGTATGGCTCTGCATAGCACAGCCATGCAAAGCAGTGTGCTCACAGTGTAAAGCACACACACAACACACAGTGAAAGAGCACACAGTGAAACAGCAGCACACAGCACACAGTTAACCCTTTGAGCGCAACAGACCTTAACCCCTTCCAGCCCAGTGCCATTAGTACAGTGTTAGTGCTTTTTATTAGCACTGATCACTGTATTGGTGTCACTGGGGATGTCAGGGACAGTCAGTTCCCCCCCAGTGTCAGAATGCTGCCACAGTCCTGCTATAAGTCGCAAATCACCGCCATTACTAGTATAAACGAAAATAAAAAAAAAAAAAAACTAAATTCCAGTATATATACTGCGATTTGTAGCTATATCTTTCATGTAAACCGATTAATTTACACATAATGGCATTTTTTTTTAGCAAAGACATGTAGCAAAATACATTTTGGCCTAAATTTATGACGAAATTAGATTTTTTACATTTTTTTACTGGACATGTTTAATAGCAAATAGTCAAAAACATTGTTTTTTTTTTTTCTCAAAATTGGCTGTCTTTTTTTTTTTTGATAGCACAAAAAATAAAAAACGCAGAGGTGATCAAATACCACTGAAAGAAAGCTCTATTTGTGGGGAAAAAATGACAAATGTCTTTTGAGTGCAGTACTGCATGAGCACGCAATTGTCAGTTAAAGTAATGCAGCGCTGTTTTGCAATAAATGGCCTGGTCAGGAAGGGAGTAAATCCTCTGGAGGGCAAGTGGTTATACCATATAATAGAGTGTTTTGTGGACTCAAAAAATACTCCTGGGTGGACAGATCTAAAGTTGTTAGGCAGGGTAGAAGGAGAAAATGTTTGGCAGGGTTCTAAGGATAGGTTCACACTACTGCATTTCAGAAATGCGATCAGCATCACACTTTCCTGACACACAGAAATGTGCTGCCATTTAGCAGATGCATGGGGTGCCGTTATTAGAGGTACTCTCATGCACCTGAAAACATGCACTTTTTTTCAAGCACAAAACTCCATGGTACCACAGCGCCATTTAGTTCAGTGCAAAATGTTTTTGGAAAAGTCAGGGACTTCTTTTCAGTGTTCTGGCATGTAAGGTAGCCCACTGAAATGAATTGGCTGCCCTACACGTGGACATGCATGCACCTGTACAGTAGGTGTGAACCAAGCCTTAGAGGTAAAGAATAAAAGAAACTGTGTCACTGAAATCAGAAAGTGACTGTGCTAGTGTCAATGGCAAAGTGCTGAAAAAGTTAGCAGCACTTATTAATGATGCCCGGAACCAGGCAGTTACTGTGTTCATGTGAAAGTCAAACATTATGGTGATTCCCCAACTTAGAGATGGGCCGTGCACTGTGTGTAGTGATGTCACATGCAGAGTTCCTCCATAAACCTTTCATTCTGTGTCACTGAACACCTTTCTGTAACATGTTGCGTTTAGGCCTGTGCCCTCTCCACCTATACAGCATATCTCTACCACCTCACTCCCAGTGACAGAATGGGGTCTTGCCGAGCACTAGCGTGGACCTCATACATGCTCTCACTTATCTCCTCTAGCCCTCTTGTACCTTATGGCTAAGCTGTGGGTCTCCGTGATGTGGGTTCCATCCCAGTTGCTCCCATCCTGGGAAACTGACCACTGGAGAGGTAGCCAAATCACCAACTCCTTCACTATCAGAGGACCCTCTGCCTCGCTGGGTACCACACTTCACAACAGGCTGCTGTACACTTTACATCATTACTCGGTTATCCATGAGAACTGCATTCCTCTTCCACTTGTCTTGTCGAGTTAACCATTTCA